TATTTTGTTCAAACCCATTACTATCTCTTGTGTAATCATAATATTATTAATAACATTTACTGTAGCTCTTACTGTACTTCTCTCATTTCCAGAGAATATGATAGATTATGTAAATCAAACGATAAGTTAAAGTCGGAACTCACGGCCTGCGAGCAGAGGGACACTCGGCTCCGGCAGGATCTAAAGAACGGGTCCTCTCAGTTGAAGAAGACGAAGAAGCTCCTGGAGAAGGAGAGAGAGAAGTTACAGGATTTTGAAGCTACACCGGAAAGAAGCGAGAGAGAGATAAAAGAATCCGAGACTAAATTGAAAATACTCCAGGTAATATACATGCGCCCGATAAATTTGTTATTTTTATAATTATTTATTTATTTTTAAAGAAAAGGAAGGAGGAGGAGGAGGAGAAAATGTCAGCTGTGATGGCAAGTGAGTGTGTGACAGTCACATGACAGTCATGTGACATATGTATTGATACAAATATACCTATATTGATATGTATTTGAATCATGACTATATACCTTAATTGCAATCGTATGTTACTGTAGGTCTGAAGGATGACACAAAGCATCTTCAAGAGGAGAAAGAGGTGAGCTGGGGGAGGAGGGAGAGGGAGAAGATTGATATAGTCATTGTTGTTTTTTTCAGGAATTGGAAAAGGAACTGGTTGTACTGAGTCAAAAGAGCAACCAGGAGAAATCAAAAGTATATGACACACACACACAGTCACATCAGCTCCAGGACATTTCATAATTTGTATATAATCATGTACTCATTACATAAAAGAGTGTTCTTATCTCAGGATATTCCCTTCCTTATTTATATTACAATGATACACTATACATACACTAATACACATTTGTAGTTATAGAATTATTATTACTTTATAATCATTAGTTCAATTGTTACTACGATTTTGTTATATCATCATGATATCATTGAGTTATTATTATATATATATGTACATGTACATGTATTAATTATTATTATTATTATTATTGCATGTCATTACTATTATACTGTGATGTTATCATTACTACAATCATGTACATGTATCTGGTATATAATTATGATATTGCTTTGTATGTGTACTGTGTCAAAGGTGTGTTCTGGTATTTAGACGTACCGTCAATTAATGTAAGTGATGGAATGTGACCTGTTTTGTCTTTTATACTATGAGATATATTGCAGCTGTCATTAGGAGGTCTTCTGTTTTATACACACTCTTCTCCCTCCTAATTATTTATCAAATTTTACTTTCCCTTACTAAAAAATGCTTTAACTCTACCTTTCTCTCTCCCCTCTCTCTCTCTCCCCTCCCTCTCTCTCTCTCTCTCTCTCTCTCTCTCTCTCTCTCTCTCTCTCTCTTTATCAGTTTGATATAGCTCAGTCAGAACTCGAATTATATCAGGAAACGTTTGCTACACTAAAGAATCAACTCTCAGAAGTCAAAGAGCAACTAAGCTCTATGAAAACCACAAGCAAAGATAAAGAAAAGTATGTTTTATACAGTACTCTGTCACGTGATCTCTATGTCATGTGATCTAGTTATTAATTTGTGAGGTTTGATTACAGTTATTGATTCTTAATTTATTTTAGTGAGTTAAAGAGATTAACTAAAGCTCTGCCTGGTCTCAAATCAGAGTTGATCCAAACTGAGAGAGAGTATGAATCAGTATCAAACAATAACGAGAGAACGAATCAGTCGTTGATCAGCGTCAGATCACAATTAGAGGAAGCAAAATCATCACTTGAAGCCCACAAGAACAGGTACATGTACCATGATCCTGTGTGTGGTTTTGAGGTTTGACATACATGTACATGTACATGTAGTGTGTGTGTGTGAATTTATACTAATTTATTGGCATATTTAGTGAAGGGTTTTAAAACTCTGGAATTAAAGTAGAATATTAAATTACATGTATCGTGTTCATGACATCGTTTAGGGGTCGGGTTTTGGAGGCATTGATGGAGCAGAAAATGAGTGGACGTATTCCAGGGATAGTGGGAAGACTGGTAAGGAAATGGAGGAAGAGAGAGAGAAAGGAAGAGAGAAGGAGAGTATGATAGAGTAAGTTTAGAAGGAAATATATATATAGAGAGAGAGGGGGGAGATATGTGTAGGCTTGGGTTCATGTCAATTCAAAGAAACACAAAGAAAAGAGAGAGAGAGAGAGATGAGCTAACTTTGTACAGAGGCCATAAAATCACATTCTACACAAGAATGACTCTTTGTCCTGTAAACATATCACACAACTACATGTACATGTACATTACATTCTTACATGAATGCTTACATACTGGTACATCTATTGCAAGTACATAATACACGTATTTGTATACCTGCCTGTGGGTAAGGGTCATTGTAAAGTGGGTTGTCGGTGGGTTTGTAGTTTTCATAGAGTTTGGAAGCCACAGGAAGGAATGATAACAGTGACTGGGTAGCAGCTGCCAATTACTACTACTATCAGAAATTTGAAATTGTATATGACTTGAGATCCTTTACTGCCCTTTGTGTAATATATGTCAATCTCTGTCTCCTCTCTCTCTCTTCTCTCTCTCTCTCTCTCTCTCTCTCTCTCCTCTACCTCTCTCTCCTCTCTCTCTCTTTTAGGGTGATTTAGGTTCAATTGATGATAAATACGATGTAGCCATTAGCACGGCCTGTTCTTCTCTTGATCACGTTGTCGTTGAGACGATCGACACAGCAGTGACATGCGTTGAGTTCTTAAAGAAGAACAATATTGGCTCTACTACGTTCATCGGCCTCGACAAGGCTAGAAGAAAATATATATATTATTATTAAATTATTATTATTATTAATCATGTTACTATGTAAGGGGTGGGGGAAGTTTATTGGTGCCCCTTGTATTAGGAGCCCCTAATTAGCTGTGATGCAATTTCAACTATGATTCGGTGTGTTTGTTAGTCAGTGGGTAATTACATTATCATCATCTTCAACATCATTACATCTCATATTTTGAATTGTATTGTGTGTAACTACCACCTGGTATTTATAATGACAGTCCAGCTGCTTGAAAAGGGACCACATCTGCTTCAGGGACCCAATGCTGTAATATTTACAAGGAATACAACTTCTAAGAAACCTCTGACATGCATGAGATACACATGTGTTTAATTTCATTTGTATAATTACTCATTTATCTCCCCCTTCCCTCTTATCTCTCTTTTTGTAGATGGACAAATGGAGGCAAAGAGCAACCACACCAATCGAAACGTGTGTTAAGTCAATTAAGACCGTGTTTAAATCATGTTAACTTTCACATTAGTAGCTTTGCTTTGTACTTGTTTAGAATGCGTTAAGATCGCATTAAATATAGCATTATATCCATGCTAACTCTGTGCTAAGTGTGTGTTAATATGTATTTTTGTTTTCTCTTTTAGTCCTGAGAATGTCCCACGATTGTTTGACCTGGTCAAAGTAAAAGATGACAGATATTTAACGGCTTTTTATTACGCACTTACCGACACACTTGTTGCAAATGACCTTGATCAAGCTACTAGGATAGCATTACAAGTAAACTATAGTATATCCATGTACATGACAAGCAATATTTAATGTGTAACATATATACCATGTACATGTATGTATGCCTATTGCAGTATAATGGCTGTTAATGTTTTAATAAATGAATTATAATGAGGTTTTATTTTCCAGTGAGTCACGTGTACATGTATACATTAAAATAGTAAAAATGCGTGGTATATGTACTTGCTAAGACTATACAATATACATACATGTATGTCTTCTTTGTTTGTTTATTTGTTCTTTTCTTGTTATTTGTAAATATAGGGAAGGAAGAGATATCGTGTTGTGACTTTGGGTGGACAATTGATTGATTCATCAGGTGGAGAAGGAGGGGGAGAGAGAGAGAGGGAGGGAGGGAGGGAGAGAGAGAGAGAGGGAGGGAGAGACAGAGAATTATTTAATACATGTACATAAAAACAGGGACAATGTCTGGAGGTGGCAATAAAGTCATGAAGGGTAGGATGTCTTCAAAACTGGCGAGTGATGTCACCCCATCCCAGCTGCAACAACTAGAGCAGAAACTGAACCAGGAAGAGAAGGAATCAATAGTGAGACGTGTCATGTGATCACTCAGTCATGTGACATTAACCGACCAATAGGTTTTGAGTCAGAGGAAAGAAGTCCTGGGGACCAGGATTAGAGAACTGAAAAAAGAAATTACAAAAATGGAGAAAGATATCAAGACTATAGAGAGAGAGTTGGAGGTGGGAATTAAATTTCCCAATAATTCTATTTTTTATTCTATGATTCATTCCTTACTTTTGCTCTTCAAAGGTTTTGAAAGAGAAGGAGAAAGGTTTAAATGTCCGACTGGTGGAACTGGAAGAGAAAAACTCGAACACTCACATCGACCCAAAGAGAGAGAAGGAGCTCGAGAAACAGGCAGCAAAGTTTTGTAAAGGTACGAGAAACGTCGTGAATATTATGTGCTGTTTTATTATTATTTTTTAAAATTTTTTGTGTAGAATACGAAGCAGCTGCAGCTAATACTAGTGAAGTTGATCAAAAAGTGAAAATGTAAGAAGAATTATAATAATAATAATAATAATAATAATAATAATTATTATTATTATTATTATTATTATTATTATTATTATTATTATTAGTCTTCACGAAGAAATAATGAGAATTGGCGAGTCACGGATTAAAGGGCAGCAGGTAATATTTGACCAGCTGTCCATCTTCATTTAAACTTATATTCTATACACAGGATCAAATTGATCGTATTGACAAAGAGCTTAATTCAGCTAATGCGACCATTACAAAGAGCAGGGTAGCCATTAAAACAGCCGAAAGGTATAAATCTGAATTTATATTAAAAACCAGTCAAACCGGTTTTTTAACAGGAATACTAAGAAGTGCCGCGATAAGGTGGGGTCCCTGGAGGGAGAGATAGAAGAGATTGAGAAGAGGATAGAAGGAATTAAAGAAGAAATGTCAGACATTGAGGAGAAGGCAAAGGAAGTAGTAGGAAAGCAGGAAGAGACTCAAGTAATAAAAATAAATTAAAACAATAATAATAATAATAATAATAATAATAATAATAATGATACATTGTACATGTTGCATGTGATGTTGGCAAACCTGTCTATTCTGGACACCTTGGGACCCAATAACACCCTAGCTCCTGATTATGAACCTGTCCTTATTTCAGAGGTTCATTAATACACATTACTATTGTATTGGGACTGATACTACCTGTCCTCATTATAGAGGCCTCCTTATTTTAGAGTGTCCACAATAGCAGGAGGTTACACTGTATTGTGTATTTTTTAGGAGACATTAAAGCAATACGAGGAGTCGTTGGTGAATATGAAAGCTGAGATTGATGTGGAAGAAAAAGAGTTGCAGTCACTCAATGAGCAGCTGGTGGATTTGAAACATGAGATGAACCAGTACAGTGCTAAAGTGAAGGAGAACAGACAAAAAATAAAACACTTTCAGCAAGAAGTACGTTCATAGCAGGATTGAGTAGCAGAGAATCAGTGTTCTTGTATGAACTGACTCTGACTTAGATTTTTTAAGTTACGGTCATTAAAAAAAACTCCAAAATTCTAAAAACACCCAAAGCTATTATATAGCTTATATGTTTTTTCCAAAAAATGGCTAAAAAATCACCCCCCAATTTTTATTACATTTTCTGATACATATTGATGCACTTATGCAGTGTAGAAAGTTTGAGCTAATTCCAACTTCAATTTTTTGAGTTACGGCCATTTTTAAAAAACAGGCCAAAATCTGAAAAACTCCCTGTACTATAGCCCATGGTTTTTTTCCAAAAAATGGCTAAAAAATCACCCCCAATTTTTATTACATTTTCTGATACATATTGATGCACTTATGCTGTGTAGCAAGTTTGAGCTAATTCCGACTTCAATTTTTTGAGTTACAGCCATTTTAAAAAACGAGCCAAAATCTGAAAAACTCCCTGTACTATAGCCCATGGTTTTTTCCAAAAAATGGCTAAAAAATCACCTCCAATTTTTATTACATTTTCTGATACATATTGATGCACTTATGCTGTGTAGAAAGTTTGAGCTAATTCCAACTTCAATTTTTTGAGTTACGGCCATTTTTAAAAAACAGGCCAAAATCTGAAAAACTCCCTGTACTATAGCCCATGGTTTTTTTCCAAAAAATGGCTAAAAAATCACCCCCAATTTTTATTACATTTTCTGATACATATTGATGCACTTATGCTGTGTAGCAATTTTGAGCTAATTCCGACTTCAATTTTTTGAGTTACGGCCATTTTAAAAAATGAGCCAAAATCTGAAAAAATCTATGTACTATAGCCCATGGTTTTTTCCAAAAAATGGCTAAAAAATCACCCCCAATTTTTATTACATTTTCTGATACATATTGATGTACTTATGCTGTGTAGCAAGTTTGAGCTAATTCCGACTTCAATTTTTTGAGTTACGGCCATTTTAAAAAACGGGCCAAAATCTGAAAAAATCCCTGTACTATAGCCCATGGTTTTTTCCAAAAAATGGCTAAAAAATCACCCCCAATTTTTATTACGTTTTCTGATACATATTGATGTCCTTATGCTGTGTAGAAAGTTTGAGCTGATTCCGACTTCAATTTTTTGAGTTGCGGCCATTTTAAGAAAATGCCAAAATTCTGAAAAATACCCAAGACAAAAAGTAGCTCTGAAATCACCCCAAAATTTTATTACATTTTATACCTGATATATATACATGTGTACCTCTTAGATAAATGCTCTGTCATTGGAAGATAAAGAATTACCAGAATTGACTGAAGAAGAGCTGTCACTGCTGAACAAGAAAGATGTCGAGTATCAGATTACAATGCTAGAAGAGGAACTGAAGCAGATGTCACCTAACATGGCCGCCATTGAAGAATTTAAAAGAAAGGTCATTAATATGCGTCTTAAACTTTTACTACCTTCAAGAGTGACCACTTTTAATTACATGTACTGCCTGTATTTCATCAAGGGGCTGTTAAAAATAGTGTCACCATTATTAAAGGAATAATAGTTTTTAATTGTAGGAAGCTTTGTACAGCGAGCGATTACAGGAGCTAACTGACGTTACGAAAGAGAGAGACCAAGTGAGAGGAGAGTATGAAGGATTGAGGAGCAAGCGACTAGACGAATTCATGTCTGGATTCACCATTATATCAATAAAACTGAAGGAAATGTATCAGGTCAGAGAAGAAGTATATTTACTAGTATTTGCTGTAGTACAGCTGGAAATGTTGGAAAGTGCCAGCCTCATTTTAAGGCTGTGTGTTTGATTATTTTTTGGAAGCTACAAAATTTAGCCACCCTTAAAAATTCCCAAGTATATACATGTACAATCATACATGTATGTTTTCTACCTTCCTTTATTTTATTATTTTTTCTTCTGCTCCTTCTCTCTTCAGATGATTACGCTAGGAGGTGATGCTGAGTTAGAACTGGTTGATAGTATGGATCCGTTCTCAGAGGGTATCGTGTTGAGTGTCAGACCTCCTCGGAAGAGCTGGAAGAACATCTCAAACCTTTCCGGAGGAGAGAAAACACTCAGTTCTCTAGCACTAGTAATATAATGATATAGTCATCATACTCTTGTCAAGGGAGTTTTTATGTAGTTTTTATTTCTTATTTTTCTTCTCTCCCTCTCTCTCGTAAGGTTTTTGCTCTTCATCATTACAAGCCGAGTCCTTTATATGTTATGGACGAGATAGATGCTGCTTTGGACTTCAAAAACGTATCCATAGTTGCCAATTACATTAAAGTATAAGAACACGAAGAAGATTAAAATTAAATTCTAATTAAAATTCACCTCCTTTCTCTCTCTCTCTTTTCTTTTTGTAGGAGAGAACAAAGAATGCCCAGTTTATAATTATAAGTCTTCGTGATAACATGTTCGAGTTGGCCGATCGCCTTGTTGGTATTTATAAAACTAACAATTGCACTAAAACCGTTACTATTAATCCACACAAGATTTTGGAGAAGCTTTGTGGGGGTGTGGCTACCCCACCCACTGGGTCTTCCTCCTCTTTGCAAGCTCCACTTGTCCAATAAATGACAGAATATTATTAGTAATTCTCAGTAATTCTTATTGATTATAATAAATTTATTATAGGATATACCATGATATTATATTATAGGATTTTTAGTTTAGTGTCAATTTTTAGTGTATTATCTATGATAGCATAATTATTTATTAGTAATTCTCATTTTCTCTTTGATTATAATTAAAATTAAGTTAATGACGAAGTAGTAGTGAAAAATAAATTTGGTATAGAATATACCGTACCATAAAGGATTTTAGTGTAATGTCAATTGTTAGTGTATTATTGATGAGTACTCTTGATGATAATAGATTTTAAAGTAATTGAACAACACAACTAGTTTACACTAAAAATTAATAATAAAGTCACGACTTAGATCTTGCAAGGCTTCCCCTAAGCCTGTATAAAACATGAATTCAAGAGTAGACGAAATTAATAAAAGCTGACCCTTTCTTTTGGAATTTATGCTGACTATCAAAAGCTTCAGAAGATGAAGTCGTCTGCTGGTCAAAGTCTTGAGCCACTGATACAGCCTGTCGTAGAGACTTGATCTAAAATTAGAAAAGAACTTATTACTGCTCCTATAGCTATGGTACTCTCTCCCTCCCTCTCTCTCTCCCTCTCTCACCTCTTGCTCAAGTGATTCCTTCTGCTTGTTGTTGTTACTTTTCAATTCGTTTGCCCGAACCATCTCCTGCTCCATTATTTGTATAACAGACGCACAATTTGAACACCTGACAGACAATCACATGACACAGTCACATGATACAATTCACATACCATTGGTCTAGTTTATCCAGCATATTGTCCAGCTGCTCCAACTGTATGTCCCGCCCAATAAAGGAGTCGATCTCAAGCTGGTAAAATTTAATAATAAATAATTAATTTAATAAATGTATTTTTCTTACTTGATGATTACTTTGATCTAATTTTGCATGTAAAATATTTCTGTAAATTGCTTCAATAATTAAATCCTAAATGACAATAATAATATAACAATAATAATAATATCTATCTTACCTCTAATTCTCTAACATTATTAACTTCAAGTTCTTCAAGAAGAGTTGAATAAGAGAGAGTCTAAGACAAAAAGGGACGTCACTAAAAAATCTCACCAGACCTCATCTTACTCTGTTCTTTGACGCAAGTGATAAAATCGTGAGATGTTTTATTTTAATTAACTGAGCCGGTAAGAGGCGTGGCAATGAATTCAAATTATCTAAAAATAAATAAAATAATAATAATAATAATATTACAGGCTCCTCCCTCTTACTCTTGTAATCGGAGTAAGTTCCGTAAGCGAATATTCTTAACAGCTCAAGATATGATTCATGTTCCGTCCCTTTAAGCGACTGGATATTCTCCATCTCTAGCAACTCACTGAAGACATACACACCTATCACCAATATACAAATAGAATTAATAATGATATATATATATAGTTACCTTTAGAACTAATGGCGTCCATTATTAGCTGGGAGGCAGCTGCCCCTGTTGCTGTCTTGGCTAACAGTAGGAACTGCTCTAGCCCTTGCTTTCCTTCCAACTGGTGGGAGAGTTCCTCAGACATTTTTAAAAAGAAAGAAAGAAAGAATTCAACTCTAAGAAATAATTATCTCAAACAGACTCAAAATTAATTAGAAAAATTTCAATGGGCGTGGTTAAGTGCAAAGTGGGCGTGACTGAGCACGAAACCGGATGTGATATCAATTGACGTCATCAAAACTTTTGGGCGTGGCTAACAAAAATTTTTTTTTTTTGCTGAGAAAAGCGTAAACTTGCTACCGTCATTGTTCATCAATGGCGTCTCCCACCTCTATAAAGAGGCTGACCCAGGACTACAAGAGACTAAAGAAAGACCCGGTCCCTTACATTGAAGCAGCACCAATAGAATCAAACATACTAGAATGGTATGAAAGAATATAGACTAGTACAATTATTGATTAGTTTTCTGTGTTTCTCTGTAGGAGATATTGTGTCAAAGGTCCAGAAGGAACTCCTTATCATGGTAAGTTCACAGTATATCACGTGACTGTCACGTGATTGGTCTTCCAGGTGGTTACTATCATGGGAAATTGGTCTTTCCTCCGGATTATCCGTTCAAACCTCCGCGGATCTTGATGATAACTCCCAACGGTCGATTCGCAACAAACAAGAGACTCTGTCTATCGATATCAGACTTTCATCCGGACACGTGGAACCCGGCCTGGTCCGTGGCCACTATTTTAACGGGACTACTTAGTTTTATGGTAAGGGAGGAAGAGAGTTTGGATTACATAATGTATACATGAGTTATTTTGATTTGTCATCACTATCTGATAGTAAACATTGCCCCCTCTCTCTCCTTTCTCTCCCCCTCTCTCTCCTTTCTCTCCCCCTCTCTCTCCTTTCTCTCCCCCTCTCTCTCTTTTAAAGGTGGAGGCATCACCGACGGTTGGTAGTGTAAGATCGTCTGATGAAGAGAAGAAGCAGCTGGCTGTCAACAGCTGGACTTTTAATCTTGAAGATCACGTGTTTAACAAGCTGTTTCCTGAGCTGGTGTTGGTAAGAGGACATAGTACCTTTTACTGATGACATTCCTTCTCTTCTTCCTTATCTTTTGTATTCTCTCTCTCTCACTCTCTCTCTCCTCTCTCTCTCTCCTCTCTCTCCCTCTGTATAGGAAATAAAGGAGAAACTTAAAGAGAAAGAAGCACGAGAGAAAGAAGAGCAAGAAAAATTAGAACAATATGCCGGAGGACATCAACTAGCAGGAAGAAATAAGCAAGCCGAAGAGAATAACTTTTTAAGTACATGTATATCGCTACTGTGGAACATAGCACCTTTCGTACTCTTTGCTAGTTTTGTATTTATAGTGCAACTAGTCATAAAGTCATCATGATAGCTAGTATAGCTGCTACATGTACATGTATGTCGTCTCTTCTTGTTTTCTCTCTTTTTTCTTTCGCTTTTTTTTAAACGATATTTAATCAATAGTCAATAATGACACATGCTACTATTAAGCTATAATCCTTGTTCATACTATTATACTATGTTAATAAACAAGTGATTCTGTTGATTATTATTATTGTTAATGTTATATACTTGTATCTGATAAGTATCCATGGTGCAACGATACTTGAACTTCCCCTCCTCTACCATGAGGCCTTTCAGTGGACGAGGGTCTCTCGTGTGAGAGGTATTTGTGAAACGTTGCTATGGCTTTGTCTTGTTTGTCTGCTTTGGATATAATTTCATCTCGTGAAACCTTCAATTGGATCAGTGACTCATCCAGTAATTGTACCTAAACATAATGAAATGAATTGGTTGTCTCTCCTCTCTCTCTCTCTCTCTCTCTCTCTCTCTCTCTCTCTCTCTCTCTCTCTCTCTCACTCTCTCTCTCTCTCTCTCTCTTTCTCTCTCTCTCTCTCTCTTTCTCACTTTCTTTTCCAATTGTTTTATCAGGTTTTTGTATTCGGATTCTTTTCCCTCCCACTGGGTCTGGAATAGTTTTTGACTGATCTTTAACATATTCTCGTCTTTCTTTTGTCCCTGCTGAAGTACCTGCAACCTATAATGAAAATGACGATGATAAAATACACATACACCGTACATGCAACTATAAATACAGGATAAGCTTGAGTAACTTTAAAAATTTGTAAAAAAAATTAATTTTGATTGGAATCAGCTCAAACTTTCTAGACAACATAAGTACATGTATATGCATCAGATAACATTATAAAAATGGAGAATTCTCACCTTGTCATTTTTGGTGAAATTTCGTCAAAATCCCTGTACTATAGTACAGGGACTTTGGCCTGATTTTTGAGTAACTTAAAAAATTCGTAAAAAATTTAATTTTGATCGGAATCAGCTCAAACTTTCTACACAACATAAGTACATGTATATGCATCAGATAACATTACAAAAATGGAGAATTCTCACCTTTTCATTTTTGGTGAAATTTTGTCAAAATCCCTGTACTATAGTACAGGGACTTTGGTCTGGTTTTTGAGTAACTTTAAAAATTTGTAAAAAATTTAATTTTGATCGGAATCAGCTCAAACTTTCTACACAACATAAGTACATGTATATGCATCAGATAAAGTTATAAAAATGGAGAATTCTCACCTTTTCATTTTTGGTGAAATTTGACAAAAATCCCTGTACTATAGTACAGGGACTTCGGCCTGATTTTTGAGTAACTTTAAAAAATTGTAAAAAATTTAATTTTGACCAGAATCAGCTCAAACTTTCTACACAGCATAAATACACATACTTATTAGAACTTACTCTTTCTGATGCTTTTTCTCCTTTTCCTCAATCTTTGCAGCAAGATCAGTGTTGAGCTTGTAACTTGCTGACAGCGTATTCTTAAACTCAGTCTGCCGTATGATCAGTGCACTTATCTCATGCTTAGCTTTGCGAAGTTCCTCTCTGGAAGCACAAATCTCTCTCTTCTTTCTTTCTATCTCTTTCTGAAGGTGGCCTATAGCTTCTTTTGATGAAGAATTGTTGAGGATTTCTCTTTCAAGTTTGCTCTTTAAAACGTTGACCTGTTTTATCAAAATATCCCTCAGACCTTTCTCTTCATCTGCTTTCTCTGCAGCAGATGATTTCTCCAATTTTATTTCCTCAAATTTGCCTAGGAGAGTTGTCATTTTTCTTTCTGATTCTTTTCGGGCAGACTCCGACTGAACCATCTTTAATTTCAATTTGTTCATTTCGTCTTGTAGCTTTGACAATTCCTTCTCATATCCTACCTTTGTCTTTGTTAAATCTTGAATCTCTCGCTTTAATAACTCTTCAGTCTTTAAAGAATTTGACATTAGAGTTTCCTTCTCTCTCTCCAGCCCCCTACCCACTTCTTGCTGGCTTTTATAAGCAGCAAGTATTTCTTCTCTACTCTCTATAGCTTTACAAAGCTTTTTCTCTAACTCTTTAATCTCAGATTTAGTCTTAACACTAATCAGTTCCATGCCGTATTTCTCTTCTTCGAAATTCCGTAGCTTTGTCTCTCGCTCCATTTCCAGCATTGCCCATTTCTCTTTCTCTTTACTGAGTCTCATAAGCTCATTCTCCTGAAGGACTGTCGTCAGTTTTGCTTTGTTCAATTCACTCTGCATTTCCTTCTTCTCAATCTCCTGCAGGACCTGGTGGTCGGAGAGTTTGCTGAGCTGGATAACGGCAGCTTGGTTTTTAACACGACACAGATCCAACTCCTCTGCAGTCCTTCGCTGTAGATTACAAACCTCATCAATTTTAAGACTTAGCTCTCTTATCTCATTTATTTGTGAATCAATGGTGCTTTGTAGCTCTGAGTTAGTCTTGAGTGCTACTTGAAGTGATCCATCCTTCTCCCTGTTTATCGACATCAACCTCTGGACTTGCTTCTCTGCAGCTTCTTTTTGCTCAAACAATGCTGCCATTCTTGTCACACTCTCCTCAAGCTCTCCCTTAATGCTTTCTTTAGCTTTTCTAAGGCTCAGCAAATTATTCTGAAGCTTAGAGACAAAGCTAGCCAGCGTCTCTGGGCTCTTAGTAATGGGGCTTGTAGAAAGTGGAGGAGGTGGTAAAGGAGAGGTCAAAGTAACACCAGGGCTTGCTGTCCCACTTTCTAAAGAGCCAGAGACCAATGATGACAGGAGGATGGTCGTGTTAGGATTGGTTTTAGCTTCGGCAACATATTCATCAACATTAGTAGCAGACTCAAACTCGCTGGCTAGCTCTGGATCAAGATTACCCTCAAGAGCTGCAATGAACTGATGATGAAGGGAGCGGAGTTCCTGGTAAGTTTTCACGAGTTCAACCAGTTCTTCTTCTCTCTGACTCTTTGCTACCTTAACAGCTGCTATCTCTTGCCTTAGGCTTTGATTGTTTTTTCTTTCCGTCTCAAAACTCTCCTCAAGGCTTTGCACTGTATTGACAATCTCTGACCTTTGAACTTTCAGGTCCTCAAGCTTCACCTTAAGCAATGCAACCTCATCAGAGAAACCCCTTGACTCAGATTTAGAAGACTCCAAAGACGTCTTCAAATCAAAGCATTCGCCACGAAGGCTTTGAATCATCTCCAGAGCGTTTTTAAGATCCTCTTCCTTGGAAACAAACCCTGACATGGCAACACTGAGTCGACCTTCCAAATCAGCCACTTTATGTTTATATTCTTCAATAACCTGCTGGCCTTCCCTCAATTCCTCTCTCAAACTCCTCACTTGCAATCGTGAGAGATTAAGTTCTTTTTGTGAGGTCGTGTAAGAGCCTTCAAGCTGTTTGTGATCATCCGTCAACTTAGCCAGTGCTTGCTCAGAAAACTGAAGCAACTTTCTCAACCTCCTTCCCTCACCAAGCGCTTGATTCTTCTCCTCTTCTCTCTCGCTAAATTTCTCTTCATACTGACTAATGGTTTGAAAAGCCTGCGCATAATTACTCTGAATATTTCCCAGTTGCCTTTCAAGACTTTGTTTATCAGTCATTAGCCTCTGTGTCTCCTTCAGGTGCCTGTCAAGTATATCTTGTGCCTCTTGAAGCTGTTTCTTAGCAGATGAAGTGTTATTTTCGTGATGCTTGATGGCAAGAAGGAGGTTGGCAGTTTTTTCTTCTAATTCAATCACTTTGCTGGCAGAGTTGCTCAAATCAGTTTTCAACTGATTAATTTCACCTTCAGCATCATTTCTATAATAATAATGATAATAATAATGATAATGACAACTTATTAAAGTCATCTGCTTACTTCACTTCATCTAAAATAGTTTGCAATTTCTGTATTTGTCCTTCAATGTAGTTTAGTTCTTTAGATAAAGTTTCAGCATTCTCTTCCGATGCTTTTAACTGGTCCTAAGACAAAGAATAAATCAATAAAATATTCCATCTCCTTACTGTCAGCTCAGAAGTCCGAACTTCAAGTTCTTTCTTCTCTTGTTCCAACTCGCTGGACTTTTCTCTTTCCCTCTTTATCTCAAGCTCCAATCTCTCAACCATCAAGTCTTTCTCTTTCTCCATTCCAACGACAGTAGCTTCCTTATCTTGGACTGCCTTCCCAATAGCAGCTTCAGACTCTTTCTTGTACTCCTCCAATTCATTTTGAAGCTTTGCAACCATTGTCTCATGATTCTTGATGAGTGACATGACTTCCTGTGAATGGTTGCCCTTCAATTCACTTATTTCAAGTTCGTGAGATTTCTTGCAAGTAGAGAGAGATTTTTCGTACCCTGCAATCTTAATCTGCAGCTCTTCCTTTAATTTTTGAGCCTCTTCCTTACTCTTATCAATCTCGGAGGCCATTTTAACCTGAAACGCTTCAAATGCCTCCTTGCTCTCCTTTGCCTCGCTCTGTTTCTCCTCTCTGAGTGTAATAATAGAGTTCTCTAGTTGAAAAACCTTATCACGAGAGCTCTCCAGCTCTCCCGACAACTCCTTCAGACTGATCTCTGAATCATCCTTATCTTTAGAGAGGATTGCTATAGTCTGTAGGCTACACTTGAGTGATTCCTCCAAATGAGCTATATTGGAAGCAAGTTGTATCTTCTCTTGGACAAGGAGAGCTTTCTCCTGTACTATCTTAGCCACAGACTGATTCAGCTGGCCACGCTGTATCTGAACCTCCGACAAGGTGCTACGAGTCTTCACAAAAGCTTCGTTGAGTAGTATCGCCTCTTGTTTGAGAGAGCTCTTTTCTTTGCGTAGTCTGACGCAAATTGATTCCAATTCTTGAAGGTTCTTATCTAGAGTATCTACCTGATCAGTGAGAAGTCTATTGGTAGATCGAAGTCTCTCCACCTCATCATCCTGGCTTTGTTTCCTCTCTACTAATACACTGTTCATTCTATCAAGCTTATTCTGTTTTGCCGACATATTGTCCAGTGATTCTTGCAATGCTCTCTTCTCTGACTCCAGTATTGAGTTGGCTTGTTGAAACTCTACCATTCTTTCCAGCAATGTCTGCTCTGATTGCTGCACATCCTTCAGCTCCTTCTCTAGCAAGTCTTTTTCTAGCTCCAGCATACTGACTTTTGACTTTGTATCAAACATTACTTTCTCCATGTCCATCTTCTCCGTCTTGAGAGAAGAGAGTTTATCCTGTAGCTCCTTTACTTCTCTCTGTGACTGGTTGATGCTTTGCTGGAGCCTAGCAACCATGTACTTCTTCTTGGTCATTTCAGCCTCGAGCCCTTCCTTATCCATTTGAATACCCTTTGTTTCATTCTCAAGATCTTTGATCCTCTTCTCGAGAGAACCCTGAGCCTCTAAAGTCTCGGATCTCTCGGCCTCTAAGAGGGCAAGGGACTCTTGGTATTCTGATAGTTTAGAATCAACTTCCATCTTTTGACTGTAGAAAGAAAGAGGATTTTCATTGCAAGCCATTTTTACTTCTCTAACCTGACAATGTTCTCAATTTGTCCTTGAAGCTGTACTTTTGTTTGAGAGAGTTCATTCAATTGACTTTGACTAAAAGAAGAAAGAAAAAGATAAAGAGAATGTTTTTTTCATAAAAAAGGAAAGAGGAGGAGTAAAGTATAAGGTGAGAATATAACACTATTACACCAGATCCCATAGAGCATTGTGCTAATTTGCTCATATTCATTATCACTCACCAAATATTCAATTCTCTCTTCATCAGTCCGGCAGCAGAATAAGTCTCAACTTTTTGATCCTTCTCGTTCATCAGAAGTGAAGTTAATTCAGCAACTCTCTCTTCAGCTATAACTAGCTCTGTCTCCTGTTTCTCTATAGTGCAGTGAAGTGAATTGAATCCATTTGTAACCGTGGACATTATCCAATCACAGCCTTCATCCACATCATCTTTAAACTGAACAAAAAACGAAACAATTTTTGAATTGAATTTTGAAATTTCAAACAACAGCAAAACAGCAAATTAAATTTAAATATGATTGTTGAGCTACAGTACATGTGCATTTACATGTACATTATTCAATGTTAAAGTTTACTTGATACTGATTACATGATGCATGCACACATATGGATGTAAAAAAGCATAAAGATTATATATGACCTTTTGACCTTTGACTTAATGATGATCCAATGGAGCTCAATAAAAAGGAATTAATTTATAGTGTGACTATTATAATATTTATCACAAAACATTGCTGACTCCATAAGTAGTATTTGCTCAATTAGCTACAATTATCAGCAATCAAAGAGTTAAATGCCTCAAAATCATACCATTAATCACCATTCACATATATGTCATACTATTCCCATATATGTATATACATGTACATGTACATGTACCGGGTATGTCGTTATTATACTATAAACTTACAAGGTCGACTGTTACTTTCTCTCCATCCACAAAAAGTCTAGTTACATTTAGCAGAGCATCTTGTAATGTCTCAATATCTCTGTCACGAATCCCAGCAACTATAGTCTTCTCATTTTTCAATGCAACAATCTGTGCTTCCTACAGCATACAAAGCAGACATTAATTGAAATGACGAATTCTTTGGCAACTGATATGTATCTATTTTATTGGCAGAGAAATAACTTGGCATAGGCTAGTAATCACTTATTTTAAAACAATCCTAAAGCATTTAAATTTCAAATGAGTCCTTCTTTACCAATGTACACAGTACACTAAGCAAGCATGACTTACAAGATCTTCGGATTTTTTAACTGCTTCGAATACTTTTTGTTCCGCTTCTTCTTTCAACTCTTTGACTGATGCTAGCTCTGTCTCCAGCTCTTCGACAAGATCTTTGTATGTCTCCAATTGTAGAGCGTAATCTTCTTGAAGTGTTGAAATTTCAGTAAAAACCTACATGCATGAATAAATATATGTACATGTAAATGTATGTAAAAATTTGTAAGAAATCAAAATTTAATCTGAATCAGCTCAAACTTTCTACACAACATAAGTACATGTATATGTATCAGATAACATTATAAAAATAGAAAATTCTCGCCTTTTCATTTTTCGTGAAATTTGGTCAAAATCCCTGTACTATAGTACAGGGACTTTGCCTCAATTTCGGAGCAACTTTAAAAGTTCATAAAAAATCCAATTTTGATCAGAATCAGTTCAAACTTTCTACACAACATAAGAACATGTATATGTATCAGAAAAAGTTATAAAAATGGAGAATTTTCTACTAGTCACTTTTGGTAAAATTTAGCCCAAGACCATGTATAGGGACTTTGACCCGATTTTGGAGGAAACCCTGTAGGAAACCCTGATGTACATGCAATGTTCAATTTTTTACTCTCATCTGTTCTTGTGTTGTTTTCTGTTCCTTCATCTTCTCCTCCATGTGCTCTTTCATTTCTCTTGCTAGAAGCTTCATCTTTTCATTCAGTTCGTGTATCTCCCTTTAAAATAATTATAATACATGTACATGTACATGGACATCAATTATACACATTATGTATACACATCCACTCTCACTTAGTTGACTCTTCCTTCATTATTTCAAAATCAGTCCTCAGTACAGCTGCTTTATTTTTAACTCCAACAATACTGTTTACTGCACTAGCCTATATGTACATGTATAGGCATAATACCCAATTCAATGTAGTAAATGGACACAAATGCAATACCAATATTATCTCACTTTGTTTTTCTCTGCCAGAGAGATCGATTTGTTCCTTTCAGTCAGTTTCTCGTTGCTGGCTCTCAGTTCTTTAATAATCTCTTGGGAATCTTCCAGCTGCTTCAGGAGAGTGGTATTACTGGCTGACAGCTGGAGAGAACTGAGAGAGAGAGCCAATTAAGAATCCATTATTAAAATAAATTTAAGTGTGTTGTTAAATATACCGATGTGTTTGCTTGTTGTTATCAAGTATCATTGATTGTATCTCATCCATATAACTACGTTCATTGTCTTCCTTCTCCTTCATCAATTCCTTAACTCTTGTCTCCAGCTTCTTGATAGTTTCTGAAGGAAACTAGAAAAACACATGAATATTATATTACAAAAATACATGCACAATTTAAATGCATTATGTATATGTACTCTAAGCACCTGTGATTGTTCAGATTTAATTTTTGATAGATTGTCTAGTTTATTTTCAAGTTCAAAGCACAGAGTCCTGTATTCTGAAACCTAAAGAGAAAAAATAAAAACCAAACAAGACAGACTCTTCCTCACTTTATTCTGCAGCTTGTCAATAGTCTCCAGCTGCTTCTCACTGGATTCCTTATACTTTGAAATCTCAAGCAAATGAGTTTCTTCTTTTTCTTGTATGGCATCTTTAAGGCTCTGAAGCTCAGCTGGATAATCAACCTAAAGAAGAAAGATCCAAATAGAAGATGTCACTGCTCATTTTCTCATAGCATACTGCAATCGGTGGCCATTGTACGCTAGTACCAGATCCTTCTGCTTCAAATGGATTCGTCTTCAACTTTCGGTCACCATCTCCACTCAAATCTTCAACAGAAACCTTCTTAAAAGTGAATAAAGAATTATTTTATTAATAATTAATTAATCAAGGAATGTCTCGATGACTTTATTTGGGCCGACTGTTAAAATGCTATCAATTTTCAGGTCTGACTTGCTAGGACCAATTATGGCCAGCTACTGATTAGTGACAATCTATTTCTTACATGAACAAGTCTATGTGCATGCAAATTCGTTGAGAATAATACTTTAGGCCAAAGCTGCAAGTACATGTATACAACATCAAGTTATTCAAGTATACATGGATTATACTAGGTAACTAGCTCTACAAAGACTGCAGAATATACATCGCACACTATTTTGCACGTATTTGCAGAGTCAGCTCGTAAATATTATTAAAGATACATGTGATAAGACTGAATTTTGATAATGACAATCATAATGATAACACTATCGGTGAAATGGGTAATGAATATCCTTCTGCTAATGTTAGAGAAACAGGCTGCAACTGCTTGCAATCATGTGGTGCAATCGGCACTGAATTGCACCTCATGAATTTCGTGTTATGATAGATACATGTCTTTTACAACTCCCGGCCTAGCGCATTACCCCACTCTTAAAATTCCCTTTAACATGCACATGTATACATACATGTACATTATCCGCACTTACCTTAACATTTAAGGTAGGATCTTCAACTCCCCTTACCCCTCTATCACTCATCTCTACCAGATAGAGTGAATGGGCTATACTAATCGTTTTAGTATCTTTATATAGAATGGTTCCTAAAAAACGCATGCACGCATAATTAATGAGGACTTCCTTGGTTACGAGTTTATGTGATAATTGTCATTTCGTTAGCAGCTGGGTGGCATTAAATACGCCTACGTATGTTAACGAGTTTGTTTTTACTTTCAAAAATGATGAAAGTAATTCATTTTATAATAATAATAATAATAATAATAATAATAATAATGTACAAGAGAAAGTTGAAGACATTTTGCTGATAAAATATTAATACACTTTCATAATAATAATAATAATAATTAATGATTGTTAATATGGAGACAATATTACAACCGTACATGTTAATGAATTATTTGATATACAGTACATTGTATTTTAAAGTTCCGCTAAACAACATAATCCACGCCCACACACTAACCACCAATCAATGATCGTCTTCTTAAACTCCTCCTCCTCCTCCGTCTTCCATTTAATGCCCACCTTAAAAAGAACAAATACCAAGAGGAAAAACAATAGAAAAATTATAAAGAAAGAGAGGGGTTGGGGAAGGGATGAACAAGGACAAAAAGAAAGACAAAAGAGTGAGTGATAGATGGAAATAAAATTTAGAAAAACCATGAGAGAGAGATATAGCCTAAAATGAAAATGTAGTACAATATGGTTACACATGTGCCACAAAAATCCTAAAATAAAAAAGAGCAGAAGATTGTATGAAAAAGAGGATATAATAACAGTAATAGCAATAATAATAATTATATAAACAAAGAGAGAGAGAGAGAGTGGCGAGAAGATGATTGAAAGAGATTTAAAGACTCCTTGCACAAGTAAGTGTGTGTGTGTGTGATATACTAATTATTAGTAGCAGCTTCAGCGTCAGGTTTTTGATGTGAATAGCTAGAATGATGAGGAGGTATTGGAGCTAAAGGTGAAGAGTAGAGATACTGAGGAGGATGCATCATCGCACCTTGAATCCCTAGCGGAGAATAGATGGGTGTGGTCAAACTAAAAGGAGGCGGGGATGAGATTGTCGCAGAACCCCAAGTACTTTCGGTCCAGTTTCTATAACTCTCGACTTCTTTGCTTATCTGGATGATACGACTTAGAAGAGACGTTCCTCTTGTTGCCGTCCCGTCTTCCCGAGCCATCAGTATGGTATGGAGGAGGTTGTAAGCGTGTTCAAAAGCAGCTTTGACTTGCATGATGCCGTAACAACCTCGACAAGCATTCTCCCTCTGTTCAAGAGGGTCCTGTATATACAATAAACTGTCCTCCATCCCGTCCAGCAGCGCTTCTTTAGGAAAATAACACCCACCGTCTATAATAGAAATGGCCACTTTGGTATAGTTGAAAGTCCTTCCGTAGAGCTCGAAAAACTCCATCAGCAAGACACCGAGGTTCGACGAGACATCGGCTACTTCATTCCGGGCATGCATTTGAAAGAAACTTACCAGCATTAGTATGAGGCTGTACGAATTGATGCCTCCATAGTAGACTTCATTGAGCTGACGCTGAGCAAGGAACTGTTTTACTATCAAGGCAAGATACGGTAAGTAAGGAAACTGTTGGACGTACTGACAGATAAGGTTAGCACTATATATGCCAGTCTCTTGATTAAAGCTAATGTCAACCTTTACTTCCGTTTCCCTATCGGTGAACTTTATTATGGGGACGGTCGTCTTATCAAGAACCATAATGGAATCTTCTATAGCAATCTGTGCCTTTAGGAATGCATCCTCTAGAGAAAAAAGAGGCAGGGCTAGCCACTCCCCCAACACGACAATATCAATGTCGCTAGTTGGGAGGTAGAGATTTGTACAGAAGCTCCCGAAAGGGTAGACCTGAGCACGAGGCCATAGCTTGAGTATGATTGCCTTTACTTTCTCAAAAACACGAAGCCTCATACACCTCTCGCTCCTCTTGGGAGACATGTATGAATAAAAGTGGACGATTTCTTCGTGGAAACCGATCATGTCATTAGAGTACTCCTGCCTTACCCACGGGGTACACGTCTCTGTGCTCTCGCCGGTAATGTGCCGCTTTGTTTGGGAAGAAGACTGGGCAGAGCTCTTACCAGATGAAGATGAGGCCTCAATGGAGAGGTACTCCGGTTGAGGATGCGAAGGTGAGTTTCTAATGAGGGTTTCGACACCCGGGAAAGCGTTCTTTTCCATCCGGCTCCAGGTTTCAACAGCAGAGGAGTCAGTGTTACCTCTTTGTATACCGAGGGCAGTTGACATTTTGTTTCCTTATATGGCAAATATCAATAATGTCTTCTTGTTTGTTTATCAATCGATGGCTCCCTATAACCTGATATCATAAGGAAATGAAACATCAATCAATCGACATACATGTAATTAATTGCAACAAAGACACAGTGATGTGTTTTATTCAATAAAATGTAAAGCATGCCCATTTGTGGTGCAACAATCTAATTTTAGTAACAAATCTAATTCCAGTAACGAATCTAATTTTAGTAACGTCTGTCACTAGGCATGGCGGCATGCTATTTGATTACAACATACACAAACAATGAGAAATATGAACAAGACATGTATCAGTAGCTGGTCATATAGCTTCCTGTAGAAATGTAAATTTAGGATGTAATACAAGTGATGCATCTATGTGTGTGTGTGTATATATGTATTGTACATGTTCTGTGTGTGTGTGTGTGTTTTGTATGATA